TTAGTCCGTGAGTCCTGTGACATGCGCGTGGACAGGAAGGAGCTTCACTTCTCTTCATTCTGGACTTTATTCTTCTGTTTGTTCTGGATTTCTGTTCAAGGTAAGCACTAACCATTATTAATAACTTATTAATAACACGTTTATTCAGGAGTAGTTATGTTTGTTGTTGTGACTGCGTTACTCTAGTTTATTGATTATCGTTTTTATTTGATCTGTTCTGTTGTAAATGAGTCCTCGTGGCTCAGTGAGGCCAGTCTGTACAGGATGGATGGATGGATGGATGGATGGATGGATGGATGGATGGATGGATGGATGGATGGATGGATGGATGTTTTTTAAAGTAACGTGGCCGAATCCTCTGTTAGATATTCTGCTAACTGTCCGGCTCGTTCAGGTTGTAGTAAATTGTCGTTAAATAGTTTTAACGCCGATTAAAGCTTAAAGTCGTGATAATTAACGGTTAGTCTGGTCTCACTGACACGGCGGGATTATGAGAAAGTTGGGCTGTAGTTTGAAAATTGACCCGACCTGTTTATGATACTGTTGCTTAGCAACAACGGAAAATGCGCTGACGTACTTCCGGGTAACGGTTCTGTTTTCTATAACGAACTTTATTCATAACGTGTCACATTACAAAGGCAGTAGTCAGAATAATCTAAAGTTACCAACATAACTGGGATATTTAGGTTGAGAGTTACAGGAACACGTGTCTGCTGTCACTCATTAATGATTAAAATAATATTAGTGATGAATTAATGTGTAAACCTAAAGTTAGGCTCATATTAATCATGTTGCTAAAATCAGCTGTTAAACTATCAGTAACATCAGAAAAGGGTTGGAACACAGTGGCTATAATAAACCTGTGACTGGGTGTGGTTAAAAAACCAGCAGTAAAAGAAGCAAACAGCTTAACTTTATTACATTAGGCCTAATTATTAAAGGGACTATACAGCATCAGCTTTAATCCAGCTGTGTCATTACATCAAATATGTATTTAACTGTTAATAAGAGACTGAATGAGTTATTAGAAGTGGTTATTTTCAGAGTTCAGCTCAGGTTTGTTGAGTCACAGGATTTAACTCCATGACTCAACAGTGTCCAAAGTTCATAAAACATCTGTTTGAACAGAACAAGCTTCATCGTTGCACCGACGTGCAGTGAGATTATGTTTGTACAGTCGTCAAAGATGGGCAGAGTGCACGTCGCTGCTGCGACAAGATCACAGCCTCTCGTCCTCCATCACAATGTTTGTAGGTGGGAAATGATGGATAGTAGGGGCGCACCGATAAATTGGAAATCAGCCGATACTTGCATTAGAAACAGATTTATTTATTAACAATTGTCTGAACTTCATTTATATTTCTGAGCACGACCTCGTGGCCAGTTAAACAAGTTTGTTGTTTCAGGATATTGTTCAAGGGTCTGTTTTCAATAAAATGATATAAGGTCACCATGCACCTTCAATTTTACAATAACACCTGTCGCTTAGAAAACTACATCGGACTCGGCAGGTCACTTTTTAGAAGTCTGTGATCGGTGCACCCCCAGTAGATGGAGGGATTACAAAAAGATCTCTTCACATCTTGTCCCTTCAGGACAGGGTTTAAGACATCAGAAACTCTCCTGGGGGTAGACAAAGCTTTTCCTTAGTTTATCCCACGAGAAATTTGATAGTCGGCCTGTTTTCCAGGTCAAACCGGGGACTCAGATTCAGGTCATTTCTTCAGGCAGACATTTTTTTTTTCTTGTCAGCCTTGAGTCCTGCTGGAACTTTCAATGATCCAAAATGACCAGATTTGTTGTAATTCCACTGATCCGTGCTTATGAGCCTCCTCCAAGGTCGTCTCCAACATGCTGGCAGGTCCTAGAAGCCGCAGGTGGCCTGCGACTCTCTCACATCTCTTCCATCTTACGGCTTAGCTCGTAAATCAGCTGATTTTGAGCACTCGTAGCATGAACCAAACCTTCGAAGCAGCAGCCTGACGAGGGACAAATGAGCTGCAGCCGTCGTTATGATAAACCAGGAACCAGCTGATTCCAAAAAGCAGGAAGCCTGTTCTCATAAATCCAGTTATCGATGTCTTTGGCGTCCTCCTGAGTCAAAACTGAAAGACGCATCAGCTCCCACATCCATGACGTATCCTGCAGCGGGACATGAGGGCTCTCCAGGACCTGGAGCTTGGCTGAAAAGAGTCTGTCGATTGCGTTCCGTCACATCATAATGTCTTTCGTTGGGAAGTTGTGTAACAGGAGCGCCGAGACACAGACGGAGAGCAAAACAGGAGGAGGAGGAGGAGGAGGAGAGCAGGGGAGGAGAGCAAAGATGTCTGCCTTGTGCGAGAGCAGAGAAACTTGTTTTTAAAAATCAAGTTTTCTGGTCACGGCGTGACAACAAACCAAAGTTCTGTGAATTTAGAATTAAAACGTTTGTTTTTGTGAAATGATCAGCCGAAGGAAGAAGAGCTGAATTTACACGTTTTTGTCCGTCGCTGTAAAACGGCAGCGGTTCCCAAAGTCGGGTCTGGACTCGACTGGGACCGGGTCACAAAATGCCAAATTTGTGTCTTAAGATGAATTGTTGTAAAAAATCATGTTTTAGGTTAAAACTTAAATTCAAACCGTTAAATTTTGGGTTTTGCTCTTGATTGTTTGACCAAAGATCGTTTGGGTCAGAAGTTTTTGGGTCAGAACCTGAGAAGTTGAAGAAGCGTCGATGTGGAGAACACTTCCTCTGAACCTTCGAAATGTAATGTTGTGGTTCTGAAGCCTCGTAGTTCTGCTTCAGGAGTCGTATCTCGCCTGTTCCCAGGTCGGTACCACCTGATTGGTTCCTCTGAGCCAATCGTCGTGGCTCCTGGTGGTGATGTCATCCTGCCGTGTCGCGTGGACCCCGGTTGGGACGCCGAGAGCAAGACGGTGGAGTGGTCCAAACCGGGCCTCAGGGCGGACGCTTCAGACAGACAGAGGGGTGTGGAGTACGTGTTCGTGTACCGGTTCCAGAGACCGGACCAGGACGTGATGATGGCGTCCTACGTCCAGAGGACGTCCCTGTCCTCGGACGGTCTGAAGCGCGGAGACGTGTCCCTGAGGATCAGGAACGTGACGCTGGAGGACAGCGGCAGCTTCAGATGTTTCATCCCAAACCTCAGGATAGACGCAGAGGTTCTGCTGGTTGTCGGTGAGTCAGCGGGTCCAAACCGATGGTTCTGGTTCTGTTGTTGTTGTTTACTCAGTCTTTTGTTGTTTCAGACCCAAACGTTGCCGTCGCCACGCCGTCTGAAACACCGGTGTTCAACAGACATCCGTCCACTCCGGACCTGCAGAACGAGTCGGGCCGAACCGGTGAGGACCTCGTTCGTTCGCCTGAACGGTTCTGTTGTTGCAGCTCTGACGTGTTGTTGTTGTTTACTTTCAGCTCGCTCCAGGCTCGGAGTTTACGTCGTCCTGAGCTTCGTCTTCGTCCTCGTCTTCGTCGGCCTCGTTTGTGCCCAACTCGTTAAGAAACACGAGGTGAGTCAGAACCACCTGGTTACCTGTTCTGTCCGGTAGAAACCACTCGTTCACTCACTTCAACGTTTTCTTCAAGGCTCCAGCTTCTGACCCTGAATCAGCCCGGCTGCCTTGCTCAACAGCAGAGAATCGACCCGACAACCCTGACCCGACATGAAGATGAGCGCAGGTGAGGCGTCCTGCTGCGGCGCTGGAGGTCCGATCAATAAATCCTCTACGTTCTCGGAGGAGCGTCGGTTCTGAAGTAGAACCGGACCCACACCTGGTTCTGTTTAGCTGCTGGACTTGGCGGCTCTGGACAGAACCAGGACCCGAGCCCGGAGAAGAACCCAAAGGAACCCGCCACGGTTCTTCGTCAGAACCAGGAGGATTAGTTGCAGTTTGTACTTTTATTTTGAAGATCCACGTGTTTAGTTGTGGCTCCACAGAGCGTTTTTATTTATCTTAAAGTTTTTATACTTTTCATTTATTTATCTTAAAG